GATTTGGACAGCAGCACCAGGCTCTCCATCTCCGTCCCCAATTCATCGTCGCTCGACTTCCCAATCTTCAACTCCAGAACCCATCATCATCATTGATTAACGCTAATCCTCCATGGGTAAAAATTAATTACTGCAATTGAAACTCCGGTTTTTACAGTTTATTTTTTTCCTTCTTGTTTTGTGTTTTGGAACTGATATATAACTTTTCCTCTTGTCTTTTTTCCCTTGCAGATGGTTGGAGTGTTCTTCTTTTCTTTTAACTTTTTGCTTGTACTTGTGTTCCAGTTGGTGGTTGTGGACTTGTGGTGGAACAATCCTTTTGTATTTTATTTTGGTGGTTAGGTCTAATCTTCTCAACAATATTCAGTTTCGGGTTATAGCTACGCGTAGTCCAGAAGTGACTGCTACTCCCGTAGCATATAGTCCGATGTTACAATGTATTAATGTGTGTATGTATATCTTAAGAGTGGTAAGACGATTGGCCTATAACTCCCTCGTGCAAGACGTAAAACTAGATCACGAATACAGAATTCTAAATCCTGGATTCGTCTCTGGGCGTGTGTATTTGTGGCTGTATGTATCAATCAGAATCAATGTAATTGGAATTTGCCAAACAATTTATGTGATGTGGGGATTGGAAGAGGATCCTATATGTATGTCTGTCTTACACTTAATGTTGTTGTCATGTTTCAGTTGAGAGCACATTCAAAAGAATTAAGATGGGTAGATAGATTGAATGACAGACAGACCAAATCTGTACTATGTTTTTGTTTGTTTGTTTGTTTATTGCCACTTACAAGAAAGATAGTGAGAGATGTGTGGTAAAAAGAAATGTATGAAGAAGTGAATGGTGGTAATGATGGACTGAACTGTGTGCAAAATTTGTCTTTTAAGCTGAGTCACTTTGGGGGTTTTGTTTTGGCTGTTTAGCTTTAGCTTTCAAATTTCTGTTCTTTTGTGTGTCTGCAGCAGCAACTTCCCCTGTTACTGATACAATGCTGCCATGGGATCTTATTATTGTTGCAGTGTTACTATTAGCCCTACTACATGGCCTGCCTGTACTCATTGGCTTCATCTTTGTTTGCTGACAACAATCCAGACAAGTAAAATATTTGTTGTTATTCCCAAAATTCCATTGCAAAAGATGAGTCCACTTGAAGGGACTGGATTCCTTCAAACCCATTCGATTCTTTTTGTGATATATAAATATAGGGACCTCCTAGAGTGACTTGGGTATAATTTTACTGAATTGCTATTCGTCGCCCTAAATTTCAAAAAATATCGCCCTATACTATATTAAATTGACGTTTATATCCCTAACTCCAATTTCCCTAATCCCTATCTCCTTGTTTCGTCCCGCCCACCGGCCGATTTCTGGCCGCAACTGTCGTTCCGCAAACCCGCTCGCTGTTGTTGTTGAGGAAGGAGAAAGGAAAGTTCGGAGAAGAACGTCCGACTGTCCCAGCGCTAGTCACCGGCTGGGATTCCCCTAATCGGCCGACCCGCTCTTGTTGCCCGGAAAGGACAAAGAAGAAGCCGGAGGAAGAAGGTCCAGCCGCTGCCGTTCCCCAGCCCGCCAAAGACCTGTACGAGTTCCCTGTAATTTTTTTTTTGGGTTTCTTCATTTCCTTTATCTGGTAGTAACGGTGGCGCAACATTGATTGGTTAAACATGAAGCAAAACTTCTTTTTTTTTATTATTCTTTATAACTGTTGTCATATATAAAACTCAATTTAGATGTTTATCACGTAATTATAATTGTTGTAATATAAAACTCAAGTCCTTGAAAGAAAGAAAAAAATATAACTAAGGGCATTAGAGTAAATCTAGCTTAATTAGGGCGACAAATAAGAATTTTTAGGGCGACGAATAGCAATCCCATAATTTTAAGTTAGGTAACTTGCGTAGATCTAGACCATTAAAATCAGTTAAACATATCTTAAACCGTTGATTAAGAAAAAAAAATAAAAATAAAAAGAACGGAACACCTTTACTGCCGGTCATTTCTTTCTTGTTACCTTTCTTTTTATTTCTTTCTTTATTCCACCTCAACGGCTCCTGCTTGATTTTATACGTTGCATGTATTTTATATTCTTTTTTATTTTAACTTTTCATAATTTTGGATGATATATTATAAAAAATGTTACGTAAGCCTTCCGTAATAACAGTTATTTCTTACGTAATAGTTAAATTGGAAGCGTTACGTAAGGTTTCCGTAATGACTTAACTCTTTACGTAACACGACATTAATACTCATTACGTAAAGAGACCTTCCATTACGTAAGACTTCCGTAATGACATTTTACAACTGTTACGTAAAATACACATTCATTATGTAAAATTTACGTAACGATAGTTATTTCTTACGTAACAGTTAAATTGAAAGCGTTACGTAAGGCTTCCGTAACGACTTAGCACTTTACGTAACGTGAGGTTAATACTCGTTACGTAAAAAGACCTTCCATTACGTAAAGGTTACGGAACGACAGTTATTTCTTACGTAACAGTTAAATCAGTAGCGTTACGTAAAGCTTCCGTAATGACTTAGCATTTTACGTAACGCTAGGTTAATACTCATTACGTAAAGACACTTTCTATTACGTAAGGCTTCCGTAATGATCTTTTACAACTGTTACGTAAGATTACCATATGTTGCGTAACCATTACGTAATGCCTATTGTATTCTACGTAATGCGACCTGTGGAACCTGCTATAGCAGGTAAAAAAATTCAAGTTACCGTAGGACTGGATTCCACTTGAAGGGACTGGATTCCTTCAGGTAAAAAAATTCAAGTTCCATTGCAAAAGATGAGTCCACTTGAAGGGACTGGATTCCTTCAAACCCATTCGATTCTTTTTGTGATATATAAATATAAGTATTGGGATTGGATCTGTTGTGTAAAACTGTACATAATATGTTCTTTTAGAGAGAAAAACAAGCATTCGCTGGAGAAATGGAACTTAACATTTTGTAGTGTTATAGCTGCAAAAAAAGAAAGAAAAAACCAACTTCTCTAACTTACAAGATATAAGGTTGTTTTTCACATTCAGAAGATGTATGAAATCTCTCAATAAACCAATGTAGTCAAACTATAGGTTTCATGTAGAGAAAGAAGGCACCGTAAAAGTACAAGCGCGCGTAAGCTTTCATAATTTACGAAAAAAATAGATGTAAAAAATAGAAGAATAAGCTTCTAGGTTTTGAAGCTAAGCTTTTAACCAGAATCGAGCTATCTCGCCAAACATCTTTATCCTCATGGGTTGGATGGTGTGAGTTAAGTAATTTTAATTATCCAACCAATGCACTTCGATTTTGAAAATACTAAATATTAACTCACCTAACGATTTGTTTATGATCGACTTAGGTTGGGTGGACTATATTTTTAAGTAAAACCTAACACTAAAAAAATACAACTATTCTGCACCATAAAAAAATAAAAGAATAATTAAAATTTGAAGCAAATAAACCATTGTGAAAAGTGTAAAATGTAGAGAATTTGTTGCTTGGACTTTGATGAAGTGCAATCTGCTTGGACATATGTTTAATATTTTTCATATCTACCAAAATAAGCTAAAGATCTTAATTATTATAATTTATAAGTGAATACATCAATAATATGTTACTCTTATGAAATTGTACATAAGCAAAAAAAAAAAAAAAAAGACAATATGATATAGTTTGTATTAGAACTACGTCAAAATTTCCAGTGGAAGAATGTACTAGCTTAACGAGACAATAAGAAAAATATCATAACTTCCTTACTAATATGCTTGTATATGATCAACAAAGTTTTAGATACAAACTCTTACAACAATAGTTGTAACATGGATTGAGTCGAGTACCTACAGATTGTGTAACCTAAAACCCGCATCCAAGCCCAAAAAAGCCTATTTCCACAAAACAAATCCCCTAACCCGACCTTAAACCTTAGTTTCTACAGTAAATACGGGTGGGTTGGATCGAATTGCACGGGTGGATTCGGTTATGGTTCTTTTTGTTCACCCCTTAACCAAAATCACAAGTCTTGTAACTAGATTCATGGTACCATAAATCAGTCTTTGAAATGTCACTAGGCCTAACACCATGTTCTTTATTGGAACCACATGTGATCCTGTGGTTAACAAATTGAGGCACGAACGGGCAGAATCTTATATGTAAATATGATAGTACATGACGATGGTTGAAGAGAAAATGTGGTGAGGATAGTAAAGTCAGGTTGATGATATAAATTGGTGCTCTGTCAAATTAGATCCCACACGCGCACGCTTCCTTCCGTCCTTCCTTCCTTTGTGTGTTACTGTTACATGGTACGCATATTGGTGCCCGCCATCAACACTGCGTACTTTGTTTACAGGTCTTTCTTTTATTGTGGCCCAGTTAGCTAGATTTCCTTTATTTTTTTTACCCCTACCTAGTACTACTAACACAAGTAAATGTGTTGGGTAAAAGATGTTAAAAGGGTTTTTTACCCACTTATAGCTTGAAACATTGAAGTGCGTATTACGGTAAATATCTAATACGTCTTCATTCGGTTGGATTGGATGGTACCATTGTTACAAAAAACAAATTGTGTTGAGGATTTGGTCAGTAGAACTACTAAATCAGTTATAATAGTGGTTCGATTTATTTGATTGGACGATTAGAGATGGAACAAACGATTTATATCGATTTGACATGAAGCTAGATGAACCATCCTTGTTTAACTGATCCATTAGTTCGCTATTTTGGCAAATACCCAAATGTTGGTCTTTTCTTCCATCCTATCCTCTACAGCTATTTTAGTCCTTGGAATCTTATTTCTTACTTGCTTACTTACCCAGCAAAACTTATAGGGCTAGAATGTAGCAAAAAAACTAGTTAAATGACTAAAAAGTTCCTCTAACATTATTCGGGGGGAGTATTGAGAGAAACGAATGAGAAAGTGGAGGGAAGTGGCTTTGTCCGCAGAGTGCAAACTCCACCACCTGCTCTTCTTCTTCTTTGTTCTGAACACGTTTCAGACTTGACTGTGTGGAGGAGGAAAAAGCTGCCCTTTCTTTACTTTTTTTCAACCCCTTCCTTGCCTGAAACTACACTGCATTGCCCAGCACTGAATCATCAACATTACATTCATCAGGACTGCAGCAGCAGCAGCAGCAGAGTCAGACTCGCAGAAGCAGAGATGACAGAGAGAACACAGACAGAAGAGGTAAATCCAATAGATCTATTATCATGACCCATGACATGGATCTGAATGAATGCCCCTTCCTGAAACTCTCTGAATGAATGAATATGAATAATAATGATCAGACTACTGTTGCTGCTGCTGCTTCTGTCAGAGAGTCATGAGACAGACTGACTTGGTCATTCATCCTTCTCTCTCCCTCACTTACTTTCTCTCACCATCCATCCATCCATTATCTCATGGTTTCACTGCTAAAGAAATATCAGAAAGAAGAAAACAACAAAGAAGAAAGAAATACGGGTTCTGCACATCCAAACCGTCCATTTCTTGCCACACGGGCGCCTCTGTGAGATCCAGCCATCCAGGGGGACACGGGCGGACGTCTCTCTAGATCCATTTTTTAGGGGTGGGCAATGAGGATTTCATTTTTTTTTTTTTTATAGTTACGGGTATTTAAATACCTTTTTTTTACAAAAAATATTATTGAATTGAGATGAAATTTGGGACCAATGCTTTCTACAACGAGTATCCACAAGTTACCCGTTAATACCCGTTGGGATAATATAAGTACCTGTAATACTCGTTAGCAAAAATTCCTGCAATAGACATTACATAGCCCAACCCCAATCCCTCAACCTCAGCCTGCGAGTATCATGAATATTCTACCATTTTTGTTATTACAAACGGATTAGTACGTTGCCAAACCACTCTTTTTTTTTATTTCTGTTTGAAGATTATTGGTGTCAACCATAACAATGTCGACCAAATGCAATTCAAGAGCCATAACTTTGCAACCCCAAGTGCAAAGTTAGTGTGTAGTTAGTTAAGGCCGTATGAAACTGGAACAAAATTTCGTTGGTGGAATTGAGTGTAAAGAACTGCTTCAGCTCGTCCAATACATGCTTCACCATGGCAATTGAACGTCATTGCAATACCATATGCCGCCTCCTGCGAGTTGTTCGAAGATGACCCATCACAGTAAATCACCAAAGAGATTACATGGCGATGGACAATACTGTACCAGATTGCTCAGAACTGAAACAAGGAAAGGAAGCCAACAGGCAACAACAGAGGTAACCATGACAAAACATACTAAGATTACACCAAGGGTTGAGAAGAGCCCACAAAAACCATAAGAAAAAATGACCACCAGCAAGAGCTGCACCTGCCGAAACACAAAGCCAAAAGAGACCACCCCAAAGCCTAGAAAACAACAAAAAGAAGCAACACTCACACCAACACCAACAACCCACAAACACAAAAACAAATCAACCTGTTATGATACAAGTCATTCGTAATAATATAGGAATTTTTGGGCTCATCTATTTTAGTAGTTTTATTAATTAGTTTCTATTCTGTATTATTTGGGATATTAATATTGTTTATTTATTCTAGTAGGATTTGAATTACTTTTTAGTAGTTGTTTAGGAATCAGTTATTGTTTTCTTGTAGAAGTAGTCATGTTTTAGGTAGGAGAAAAGAGATGTTCTATGCCAATAAATATGTACTTCGTCTTTCGTTTAATGATATGAGAAGATTGGAATCCAAGTAGATTTGTAATTTAGTTTTCTTGTCCTAGGGTGATAGACCCCGACAAGAGCATACCCACCCTTTAGCAAGGTGTGTCATCTGCACACCTTTGCCTGAAATTTTTGTGAACCCCATTTTTTTCGGTGTAAAAGTTTTGAACAAGAAAACTCTGACACACCTTCGATAATTGTTACCAACACACCTTATTACATTACAAAAAATAAATTGTTATAAAGTTACCAAAATGTGTAAATATAGGAATTATCGGACTTTAGATTAGGTAGTTAATTAGTCAGTCGAGTGTCACAAACAAATAAAATTTTCAACCCCTCGCAGCTCTCTATTCCACCCTCCAATTGTTGGCATTAGGCCGACGACATTCATCTCATTCAAACTTTCATGTTGACGCTTGCTCCACCCTTCGAGCCTCCCAGTCCACCTTTCCCACCTTAAGGTAATTAATGCTGAGTTTAGGTCTTGCAACTACAACCTACAAAATGACATTTTTTCATACATGAAGTATGAACTTAATCAAGAACGATCGGAATCGGCTGAGAGATGTATAATTATTATTTTTTTTACTTCAGTGTCCAATAATAGTCCTAACAATATGAATAATTTATCAATCTTACTAATCATTATGGAAATATATTTGTAAGAAAAAATTTAATAATATTACGACGTGGGTGTTTGGAGATTGATGAGTGATTATACTCTTGAACTCATAGGTATCTATGCACTAATAACCGCGAGTACCCTTTAGAATAGATTGAGTTTTCTCTTCTAAAATTCATTAAATATTTTATCAAGCTTTGTGTGAGTACATCACCCACTAAATTTGGTATAGTTTTAGACTAACCTGACCAAATCAGAACCATTTCGAAATCCCTCGTTAATGTTGAAGAGTAAAATAAGAAAATCAAGCGAATCATTCCTTATGTTCTTTCCTTTTTCTCCCTGTCACGAGACCAGGTCCTGCTGCTATTAAAAATAAAACGAAAAATGGGCCGAAATGGATTTATATGTTACTACGAAACAATTTGCAAAGAGAATAATAGTCTTAAATTAGCTGGTTCGGATTTACTGTCATGAATTTTGCACTAAACAAGGAGACGGATCAGCCATGGACTCCCATAATCCCATATGTCATATTTTATACGAATCATGACAAATGCAGTATAGTCATTAACGATGGTTTCTTTGATGTTATCAATCGTCAATCCAACAGATCGGCCGGCAGGCCGCTGATCGACAAAACAAGGAAAGAAAGCTAGCTAGCTAACTAGCCAAGGAACAGCAAACAACTCTGCTATATAAATGTGGAATCCGTGTTTCAATGGCGGATTCATCTTCTCCCTAATCTCTCTGTTCTTCTCTTCTCATTGATTTGAATAGGTATAATATTGGTCATCATCAGGTTGATCAGTAACTAGTAGCTAGCACAAGAATGGAATCAGCAGCAGCATCCATGGCTGACGCTGGTACGAATCCTGCTGCATCTGGGAGAAGGGAAGGGGAAGTCAGGCGTCTTCACATCATTTACTTCCTCGCTCGTATGGGCCGCATCGAACATCCCCACCTCATTCGTGTTCATCATCTCAATAGAAACGGCGTTTTCCTGCGAGGTAACTGATTGATATCATAATCATCATTGGCTGATTAGAAATCGATTTAAGCACTTGATATACTATGTGTATCTTTTATAATAGATCAACCATTTTCAATATAATACAATGAATGCATGGTACCTGATCAGATGTGAAGAGATGGATGGGGGAGTTGCGGGGGAAAGACATGCCGGATTCGTTTTCCTGGTCTTACAAGAGGTACTGCATACAAAATGATACAGGCCCCCTTTAGCAGCTTGCATTTCTCTTTGAAATCCTGATAAATCAACCAAGCAGCTATGAACAAATGACACTAATATCAAATATTTCATCATGATCAGGAGATATAAAAGTGGTTATGTCTGGCAAGATTTGATGGATGAGGATCTAATTACTCCTATATCCGACAATGAATACGTACTCAAAGGGTCAGAAATTTCTGTCGATCGTCATTTTGACGCTTGTAAAGACACCAGGATCCCCTCCTCCCCGTCCTCCTCGACATCATCGTCTCCAAGGGATAGTGACTGCACCAGTGAGCAACAAGCTCCTGATCAACATCATCAAACCACGAACAGAATGATCATCAATTCCCCCACTTCTCTTGCAACATATCCTAGCCTTTCTTCCGCGTATTCATTTGAGCACTACCCTCGAGAAACCGTGCGTACAAGTGCGCCCAGTTACAATGCCCAGTCGACATCGTCATCACGTCATCCCTTGCAGTCCCCCTCGAGCTCAAGAAGGAAGAGGAGCCAAAAACATTCCAATCCCATCGTTTCCAGAATTCTGCGTAAACTGACAACTTGCGAGGTCGTTGACACAGATGACACAGCTCTGGTCGTTCTGAACAAATCATCTTCTCGCACTCCGTCCAGTCGACAGAGCTCCACTTGGAAGAAACAGGTTGACATGCAATCCATATCATCTGCAACAAATCACAAAGTTGTGACGGCTGAGACTGAATTGGAGCTGAAACTACACAGCCGTAAGCAACATGACAACAGTTCTGCTCGGTAAAGTACCTAAGCTTAATGCACATATGAATGATATTATCATGACTAGTTACACGTTTGACTCGGTGCTATGAAGAGCATTTTAAATGCTCTTAATGTCATTTTATTGGTTCGGGCCAACAAAAATGGTGTGTTCGATGTGACTCCTTCCGACTGCTGCAGGGATGACTATGAGGGAATAAAAGGGTCAACAAAGGCGCAACGACAAACAGCCAGATTTTGCAGGGATTCTGATGTTTCCGCAGCCTATAGGCCCGTTGGAGCCCCTACTTGCATGTAAGTATACATATATGTTAGCCATGCATATAGTACTGGAAATGTCAATGGCATTTCAACACGAATATGCATTTGTATATATGGACCCTAAGTAGAACCTTAATCACCATATCTAGTCACTTCTCAAACTATAACTAGTAACAATTATGCATGCAGGCAATGCGGGAAGTCATTCAGACCGGAGAAGCTGCACCTGCACATGATCAGATCTTGCAAGGGAACAAGACTTACGAAAAAATATGATATGTCTCCTGTGAATCCTGACAATATAACTCGGAACTGTGAATCAATAGTGCTTGCTGCAACTTCTTTACCAGAAGTTTTCTCCAATTAACTAGCATATACAGAAGTTCCATTCCACAGTTCCATGGCAGTAGTAGAAAGGTAGAGTCAGGTGAACATGTTATTGGGACAAAATACAATTTTTTTGAATTAACTACGTGATAACTGCCCAAGAGTTTACTATATAACTATGACGATTCTTTGGTACTCACTACGATTTGAAAGAACGTCCAGCTCACAGGCACTTCTACATACCAACCTGATTTCTTCTCATCTGATACTAGTTATGTCTCCAGAAACAAGCTCGTACTGGTAGCGGCACCTGAAACACGATGCGATCTGCAGGGTAAAAGCATTATTCCAATAATGTAATGTATAACTATGCATGAAGGTAACCATGAACAACTCCCAAATCAAACTCAATAGCTAAGACCTTCCAAAGGAAAATTTTAACCAACCTACCGAGACTGGTTCACACTAACCTAGACAAGCTACCAATTGTCGGCCAAAGGATGGCTCACAAACTGAGCCAAAGGGTACTTGTAGGCTGGACCAAAACTGCCTTCCCCTACTTTGTTTGCTGAAGAAAAGTCCCAGTTAATGAAGCTGTACAGACTTGGAAGTCATAAAGGAGGTTGCACATTGCACAAGAATATTCTTGCATTTGGTTTCGTCAGAAGTAATATTGCCTTTTCAGATACTTTGGTTCATCAACAAGTACACAGTCAACTATAGTTGGAAAAAAACTGAGCATAAGTTCATGGTACCCGGCCATTCCAACAAGCCTCCAATGCGCTAGCAGCAGGATGCCATAAAATGAACATAATGAGGTTACAAGAGAAGTCTCAAAACATTTCGAATGCATACCAGAGGCAACATATATGATCTTATGTTCTTGTACAGATCAACAGGGTAATAAATAACTAGGCTTCTTATGAGGGATTGAAGTTTATCACCATCTCCATTAACATACAAGATCACAGAGTATCCACTATGAATGATAATTGAATGCAACTAATGTCTCATATTTCTCACTCCTAGGCAGACATTCAATGCTATAGGGAGATTACCGAATCTGCAAAAGTACTCACCATGGTTTGTTCTCCAGTCAAGTGAACAGTATGCCATATGCAAGAAGTACTCGAGGATGTAACTAATGTCTCATATTTCTCACTCCTAGGAAGACATACAATGCTATAGGCATATTACCGAATCTGCAAAATTACTCACCATGATTTGTTCTCAGTCGAGTGAACAGTATGCCATATGCAAGAAGTACTCGAGGATGCATGCAACTGTTTTGCTCTCCGACTAGGGCTTTGAGCATTAATAATGAGCCCCTATCTGAATCCCACATCACAACATGAAGTACATTAAAAGTTTTAAAAAGATCACCAACAATAGTTGGGAAACTCTGGACTGTGAAGATGCAGAAAACATGAAAATTTTGTGCCAAAGGAAAAACTCCACTTAGAAGCAAAATGACCAAGCTTGTTTGCATGACCAGTAGTGCAGTACATTGGATTTACAAACCCTCCAGAACATATGCACGGAAAAATGAATTAAAATTCCAGGCCTTAAATTAAACGTCAACTAAATTGCAAAGTCAAAGCAGAACCAAACCTAGAAATTTACCAGGCAGCAACCAATCAAAAGAAGGAAGAACCAGCACCTTCAATGATCTGGAGTAGCAGTTTCATGCACCTTCCTTTTGGGGATATCAGAGAGCATCACTGTAAAACTCCCAGTATTGTCTTTTCCGCTTGCCAGTCTTGGAATCGAGAGAAACAAGAGCAGGTCCTTGATTGTCAGACAAACACGTTAACTGAAAATATATTGGACGAGGAGAAACTTGTGATATAAGACCGAACAAAGGAAAAGAAGCAAAACAATTGACACATTACAGGCAACAAATAATGATTTAGAATCTGAAAAATAAGGTCAGCGACGAAATAAATCATAGTCAGGTGATCACCTGGAATGCTTGACATGCAAACTTCCAATTCAAATTACTATAGAACTTCATGGAACTCTCAAGCGAGCAGCACTACAGAATGATTGATCCTCATCCTTACCGTTTACAGTTACCTTTGTAGGTCGTACCCCCAATATGTAAGCATCTAAACTTCATTCGGTTCTTAACAGAAACCAAAATAATAATACAAAAATGCAACAGCATTATCTCACAAATAAAAAACAAACTGTTCCCTGACCAACAAAATTACAATACCCAGCAGGTCAGGTGACAACATACATAGAAACTGAACCTCATAGAGAATACATCATCTCCCACCAGCATTCACTCCTATTTAGGCCCGATAGCGAATGACAACTTCGGCCTTGACTTGTTCTTACCCAACAACTTTATCTGTTTTGAACGTTCTTCCTCCTCTTGTTGTTTCTTTCTTCTCATTGCTTCCTCCTTCTGTCTTTGCAACTCTTCTAGTTCCCTATACCTTTCCTCTTCTCTCCTCATCTGCTCCAGGGCTTCCTTCCTTAGAGCTTCTTCCACTTTCCTCTCTTTCGCTTCAACTATCCTCTCCTGCATTTCCTTCTCTTTATGTGCTCTTTCCTAGGAGTGCACACATCAGCAGGACACAACCAAGCATGTTATACGACTTCCGTACATACTATTATTAATCAAATAAAATCCACCTATCTTCGATTAAGAATAATTCTTTCGCATGCTAGCTATTAGTTATGCACATGTAGTACTTCTTTGCTTGAATATATGAACGTAGTTATGCTAGCTATTAGTTATGCATAACAAACAACACTCTCAACTTTATGTATGTGTAATTAAGCGGCAACACAAGAAATAATGGGAATCAGCCACTAGATTGGCAGACATCCTTTTTCGCAGCACCTCAAGGGTTCTGATCCCAATTCAACAGTTATACGAGAAACACTTAAACTAATCACATGTCCTAATCATGCCACCTTCAGATCAGACAGTTTTAATAAGAGATGTGAGATATTACCAGCAATCATTTTCCTATTATCAAAGGGTAGATATTCATGTCTATCTTGCTCATCCATCACAATGAGTACCTCAATTTGTTTCGTTTCGGTAGCAACAGCTTCCTTTTCTTTCTTAAGTTGAGCAGCTACTTCATCCATTAGTGCTTTCCGTCCTTCATTTAAATGTCGTTGTAAATACTGCTTAATCTCCTCAGAGGCCAAGCTCTCCTCAACTTTCCTCTGGATAGCTTCTTCCAACCTCTTTGCTGTCTCTTCTACTACTAGCTTAACCTCTGCTTCATGTTGCTGCCTGAACATATAGAAACAAGTTAATCCAGCAAGTGGACACTCATTTAGAGCAAAGAGAGGAAACCTCCTTCAGTCCCATTTCTCATATCCCAACAAATGCTAGCCCAAAACAGTGATTGACACTGCAAGTGCAAGCTCACTTGTGCTATTCCACTCTTCCGATCTCTGTTTTTTCTACAAAGCTACAATATAACAACTGTGAACTATAGCATACTAACCTTCAAGGTGATGACTTTTCTACAGATACGCTTATGCATCATGAAGAATTATAGCATACCTCTAACTGAAATCTGATCAAGCAATGAGTACTAAATTTTGGTGAACAATAGGTAAAGGAAGCTTCCAATTTCATCACCAAATATTACAAGTGCAAAATCTTCTTCAGAAATCCTGTGGAGAAAAAGTCATGTAACTTGCTACAAAAGCAAGACTACTCCAAAAAATATGATATTACTTGCGATAAAACAGTAAATCTATCATTGGAAAACAGATGTCGTGAATATGTTAAAAACAATAAAGCAAAGAGAGACCCATATTCCCTTCTGTAAAACATTCATGGATTAACATAGAGTTCAATGTAGAGCCAACCGTAACACAAGAAAACTTTCAAATAGAGCCTATAATATCCATTAAACACTACCAAAGTCTCAGTTGGAGCCATAATATCCAAATGACTGATTTCCGGTTTACTCAACGCAAATCAAAAAAATTAATTGGGTAGTTTAACACTGTATTTTTTATCCAATTGAATCCCCGTAAAGTTTACTTAAAGTAATGAATAATTGACTTCTAATGGTTAAGGATCCATAACTACGATGATGAATTCAATTGCCATTGAGTTTTGTCAACCAAGAAAACTCGTGTTGGCTGAATTATATGAAGCCAGTAAACAAACCGCAAAACCGTGGGTATCTGAGCCTGAATACCCGGAGGCATACCAAAGTTATGTCAAAGCACATCCTTTTACTTGTCTTTCTAGTAAAAGAAATGTGTGATGTAAGTAATTTATGGGTTATTCTTCTATACATGGCTAACACATCCATGTTAATCTTCTTTCACAGGTAAGGAAAGGAATCAATCATACAGCAGGTTGTCTTCCAGCAGAAAAAATCTCATAGTCCTCTTTCGGGACCGCTATGTTGTTGCAGTCTATTACAGTAACAATTTATGTCATTGAAGGCAATGATGAACTTCCCAAAATTACAAATGCAAGATAAAAATTTGAAAGAAACGTGACAAGTGCAGTCTAAGAAGCATTTAGGTCTAGCATATACCTTTTCCTCTCCTCATCTTCTTCTTTTCGATCCTTTTGACTGTTTATTTTCAGCTCCGTATGCCCAGGACTTGGAATAGAAGAATCACGAGTAGGAGACAAGGAGAAACTCCTGCTTCTATGCTTCTTAGGGCGCCTTGGAGTTGGTGAACGAAGTTTATTGCGTCTTTGTTTTGGAGAGCGAGACCTGCGGCGCCGTGGAGTAATAGAGCTGCTTCTCCTTCTGTACAGAACAAAGATAACATTGAGCGACAACAGGAACTAAAGCCAAAAACTAACATTGTTAACCAAACTCTTGTTACCCCACAGTCTAGCATATGGTAAAAAGCATATACAGTTACCTCTATACGGTTAAGAAATATCATACTGAGCTCCACTGTTTTTCACATGAAGAAGCTCATATCACAATCGAGCAACGAAAGGATACCCATCAGCCCCATCACCTGTTCAGTTCCCACGTTTGCAATGTCCTTTTCTTTTCTCTTTTTAATACTTCTATAACATTAAACCACAGTCCAAAGCAACTTTCATGCAATGACTGCTTAGCCCCAAACATGGATGACAAGAAATACTTAGAACTACATTATAATTGGGTAAGATCACATTCATAAAATTCCAATAGAACAAATGACACAGGAAAACTGCTTATAGCATTACTGAAATGACCAGGGCACTTGAAAATCAGGAATAGGGCCAATGGAGAAAGGGAAAGCACCAAAAGAATCTGAAGAGGATGACCCCATGGAGAAATAGGAACATATCAGAAGCGAGTAGGAAAGAATCGCTTCTGCTTAGGAACTTGATCATATAATGCTTCTGCAATGGTTGATATGTAAACTCCACTTAGCTACATATATTAAAATGTTTCGAGAGTAACTCATCAGCAGCATATCCATCACTCTGCAGCAAATCAAATGACCACTCCTAACATGAAAAGACGACTCCATCCAACTTTGAATAGAGCAAATGCAGACAGGGAGCGGGGGAAACTACTTATATAAGGCCCTATATCAAAAGAATTCCTCAACCTTATAATTTGTTGTTGGAATGAATTCTCAAATTCCTGATCCGTGGACATACAACATGTCATTTGGGTAAATCGCTAATCCTAGTACTTGAAACTAAAACCTCACTGGAAAAACAGAGACCAAATATATTTTGGAAAATAAGTAATTTGGTGTTGATAAATTAATAAAGGAAGAGATTTGCACAGATTAACCCACACGAATGTATTTCCAATCCACAAAATGAATATGCAGGTCCTGAATATTTCATTCAGTTCTTCGAACATTCAAAAAGTAAAGACTGCCAGAGCATAAACGGGGTCACCTGCTGTATGAAATGGATGAATAAGGAGATTGGCTCTTCTCCCTTCGTTTCCTTCGGCCATACCTATCGCCTGCAGGTGATGGAGACTGCCTTCTCCTGTAGAAAGGAGACCGTGATCTTGATCGCGACAAGTCCCTCGGCATATCCTACCTCCCTAGCTGCATAAAATAACTTACTAAAATCTCTGGCCACAATATCACGTTTCACGCCTGGGTCTGTCAAAAAAAAAAAGGAAAGTTCACCTTGGAGGAAGAAATTGATATACAACTGGCTCGAGATAAGCTGTACAGATGAAACTACAACCGTCTACCGGAACGAAATTGTATAAAGAATATGACAGAATTAGGGAGATACAGGCACGCTTGTTCAATTGGTAAAGAAACGGTTAGCCTTGCGAGCAGTACAGTGAGAAAGCAAGACAGCTATAGCCCAGTCAATCTAAACTCATCTACAAGAATTCCTAGATAAAAGAACCAATAACACTCTCTTAGTCTTCTTCCTTACAGATGATAGATTTCTCAAAGAGAAGCCACGAGATTCATGGCACAAGTCACGCAGAACAGGTTAATAATTTTATGTGCTTTTCATGTTATGTATGTATTGTGTATGTACATTCCATCCAAGGGAGAAAGACAGAGAAAAAAACCTCTGTTCTGTTTGTTATATAGCCAACATATTGTCTCTGTAAGATGTGGAACTTATATGGTTGGATGCTAATGAGCAGCTTTATATATATGATGATGATTGTTATGTGGTGGATGATGATGATGATGGATGTTGACCCATACATGGACCATGGCTGCTCTCTACACAGGGTTACAAATTACCATGCTATTATGATGTGAAATTCTCCTGCTACCCACTCCCACTTCCCATTAGTAAATCACTTTCAAACAGGGCAGCCTATTTTAGGAGGTAAAGGCAAATCTAGTACTCCCTCCGTCCCTTTTGTTCTACTGTGTACATCCAAGTAGGTTTGGAAATGGGAAATCAATGGCAATGATGATTCATGAAGAGACTGTCAGTCCTTATTTGTTAGGAAGAGTGTGAATGAGCTGGCTCTTCAACCAGATTTTGGTTATGGCCTGTCTGATGTGAGGGTGGGGTCTGGAGGAAGATAGATTGACACACAAGAATCAACCTATCCTCTGCCTAATCAACCAGCAGCAGCATGTGACTCAAAAATTCCTATCTCGGATCTGGAGGAAGAGAGATTGACACACTAGTATGATGATGATTTCTTGATTTCTTCTGTCATTTCATTTAAGAAGAGAATAAACAGCAAGTACTACAGTTACGAGGCGTACCACATTCATAGTTCTTAATCGAGCTTAAACCGGAGGCTTAAATAGCTTTATGAATTCTTCCAAGTCCCAGAAGTCCAAGCTTTAAGCCCTGTGCATATAAAATCAACTACGTATTAGTGAGAAAGAAATGACCCTTGCAGTTTTCATACATGGAAGGCAACCCAGCGACAACCCTCATCCAAAAAATCACAAGTATTCCTTGTTAAGTTCCTTGAGCCAAAAAAACGCCGATTCTAATAGATTCTACCTATCTAGCTACTTCAAATCCATATGGTCCCTGTGTATTAAACAACTACTTCAAATCCATATGTTACACATTGGATTTCGAACACATAAAAGAAAAGGAATACCATTATGGTCCCCGAGAATTAAACAACCACTTCACATCCAAATATTATACGCTGCAGTTCCATACTTCCCAACACAAGAATGCAATTCCAAGGAATTTTCAGATAAAGTGGTGCGAAGAACAATGTCTCAATACAGCAATAACCAGCACACTGTAGACTCTTTGCTATACGTTTGCAATCTCCCTACCAAGTGATAAAACATAACTGAACAAAACTAAACCCATGGCACCTCCGCCCAATATATCACAAATAGCTTTTTTTCTACTCATACGCACCAGTAAGAAGACATAGATAGTAAGAATCTTGCTTAATAGGGAAAAAAAAAAACCTTCAAAAATGTAAATCAGGACAACAGGTTGATACTTTAACTCATGCATACTAGAGCAAAAAGAAAAGTGGTATACTACCAGTCTACCAGTATTTAACCAACATGAACAGAGAACCAGAGTATGATGTGTGACCCAAATACATCATTCCAAACTTACTGAAAACTATTACAGGCACATATGGAAGTATTAAGCTTTCATGGTTGTAAACTTGTAATATTCAAATGGAAGGCGTAACATGATGTAAGACTTAGATTTGATTCGACTGTTGAAGAAATAATAAATTTGAGGAAGAAAGATTCCACAGATTTTATGCAATCCTTAGATTTTACAAAAGCAGCCACATATCAAAAGCAAACTCTAACAGCTTCACATAGTTAAACAGACAAATCCGCGACGGTTAGTTCGTGTGCATTAACAATGTAAATATAACATGAAGGCATTCACGCTATAGTAGTTGATCTCCTCAACCGTCAACAAGCGAATCCATAAAATCAAAGCAGTGACGAAGAGTAGCCAGAGATTGGATTCAAACTGCCAGATCAAGATAAACAAAAGCACGGGAGCGAACTGGAACAGTCTTCGAAACTTCTGACTACAAAAGCGAAGCTCAATCTGGGGGCAGAAACTGAGACTGAGGAGACATACCAAGATCTTCGACGAACAGCTTCGTCTCCAACGCCTCGTTGCCGACGAGGAAGGAAATCTGGCGGCGTCCTTAAGCTCGGAACCGGACGGCGGCCGCCGAGAGACGGTCGAGATTTTAGGGTGAAACTTGGATTTTCTTTTTCAGTCGATAAGAAAATGGAGAACAGGTTTGCGCTGTTCGTGAATTTTTACAGGGGTCAGGGCGCGGGTCATTTGTTTAGGGTTTTGACCCGACCCTTACATGGTAGAATTTGACTTTACCAAGTTGTCAAACCGGTTTGGAAAAGTTTTTTATTATCTCTAGAGATAAACAAAACACATAACTGGTGGGATTTTTTTTTTTTTTTACAAAAGATAATCTTCATTGATGAGAACAAAAGATAGTTACAACCTGGAGAACAGCCAGGCCTGAAAATCAAAGGAACAACTCGCAGTCGGGTACAAAGAGAGGGCCTTCCGAGCCACCAAATGGGCTGGGAGCAGATAGTATAACAACAGCTCCTTTGTTGTTATTGTAACAACAGGATTTATTAAGGGTAATAGGGTAATTTAACATAAAAAAAATAAAAAAATTATTTAATCCATCTCCGTGCCGCGATTTTCCCTTTCCCGAATTCAGGGCTTTCTACCAGATCTTCCCTTACGGCCGATTCGCTCACTTCGCCGCCAATTCGGCCATGGTCGAGTCGATTCCGGCAGACGCCGAGACCGTCCACATCGTCGATTTCGACGTCGGGGAAGGCGTCCAGTCACCAGTGGCCGCCGGTGATCGAGGCTCTGGCTCGCCTTGGGAAGAAGGTCAATCTGACCGTCGTAGATTGGGAATCGCAAGCCACGGGAACGCGAGCCGCCGCCAGAAGACTGCGTCACCGACCTGGTGGATTTCTCTCCGTGCTTCGGCTACGTTTCCGAGCCGCCGAACAGAGTCCGCCGCCACCGACTCTCGGCTAAGTGTTGCAGCGTCGTCTTGGAGTCGTTCCGCATCGGCGGCAGCAACTGCTACTGTCGCCTGGTGAAGCAGCCGCTGCTGTTCGGGTTCCCGTTGAACCGCACCAGGATTGCGTCCCTGCTCTCTGCTCCAGGTGTCACGCGAACGCGAGCTCCGCCGCCGCCGTGGCGCTCAAGGTAGGCTTGTTCGAGAGCTGTCTCCGTGATTTTGAAGCCGTTGGCACTGGCGCTCAAGGTAGGCTTGTTCAAGTCATCCTCACCGCCGCCTCCTTCGATGTCTACCAGTGGTACCGCATTGGCCAGGTAACTTTAATTTAACATCATTGGGCTCACGTTTTGGGCTCCAAACAGCGGGCCAGGAAACCCCAGGGGAGGATCCTCTGGTTACTGGGAAGTATGCCGTCTCGTATGTGAGAGGGGTTCAAGGGGATAGCTTCCATGGCGGGAAGCTTACTGGGCATCTGCAGGCTTCCGCTTGCTGCAAGCATTTCCCTGTTGTTGTTTAATGAAATGAAGATTAAGGGGATTGAGTTGGATAGAGTTTTGTACAACCATTGCTCTCAGTTTATGTTAACCTTGGTAAGCTTGAGGAGGCTCTGGACGTCTACAAGGAGATGCAAACTTTTGGATTTGACGAGATATTGTTACTTATAATGCACTCATAAACCTGCCATTCACAAACACGGTAAAACAATCCACAAAAAGCGTACCAGAAACCTCCCAATCCATACCACAAATCCCCTAAAACAAACCAAAAACCCCACAAAGCATACCACAAATATTTCGAAAGCACACCGGAAACCTCATAATGCAAACCACAAACACGATAAAGCAAACCACAAACCTCCTAATGCAGACCAAAAATATATTAAAACAAACCAGAAACCCCAAAAATCAAACCATAAAATTTTCGAAAGCACACCATAAACTTCTTAATGCAAACCAGAAACACAATAAAGCAAACCAGAAACACCATAATGCATACCACAAATCCACTAAAACATACCACAAACCCCATAAATCAAACCACAAAATTTTCAAAAGCACACTAGAAACCTCATAATCTAAACCACAAACACCGTAAAGCAAACCACACAAACCAAACCATAAACGTCCTAATGCATACCACGAATCTCCTAAAACAAACCAGAAACCCTTCAATACAAACCACAAATTTTTTGAAAGCAAACCAGAAACTTCTCAATACAAACCACAAACACGATAAAGCAAACCAAAAACTTCTTAATGCAAACCACAAACACGATAAAGCAAACCACAAAAGACATACAAAAATATGAGAAACCAAACCATAAATCTCACAATGCAGACCATAACATCCGGTGGTCGCTGGCCGTTGACCGGTCAACGAAGACCATTGACCGGTCAACGAAGTTCGTTGACCGAACTCCGGTGACCGTCAGTGACCGGATTCCGGCGCCGATAAGCATATTCCGGCCCCGATGAGTAGATTCTGATGCCGGTAAGCATATTCCGACGCCGGTAAGCATATTCCGACGCCGGTAAGCATATTCCGGCGACGGTGAGCATATTCCGATGACAAAATAGCATATTCCGGCAACAAAACAGCATATTCCGGTGATCGGCGACCAGATTCCGGCGACCGGTGGCCGAATTCCGGCGACCAAAAATTTGGGCAGAAAATAAAAAAAATTATTTTATTATTATTATTATTATTTATTATTTAAACATATTTTTCATAATGACAATTATACCCCTGCTTTGATTTTACACTAGGTCAACTCATCTAATAAAAAGTCATCATAATCCTAGCTTCCTATTGGTTGGAGGCTAGTGTTGTTACAATAACAACACAAAGGGACCGAGCAAGGTGCGGAGTCTCAATCACGTGTACGACGGTCGACGGGAGAAAGGGAAGCAGAGCAGCAAGCACCATAGTCCGGAAAGAATAGAATGTTAATGCTCGATAGTAAGGATTGTCTGATGCATGTAGGGAAACATCCCGAATCAAGGGATTTAGGCGGCTATCGAAAGCTATTTTTTATTCATATACGCGGGATCTTCGATTTCTTACTCTAACCTGTTTGTTGATCGGCTTTTCTATATGGTGGTTCTGTATACCGGAGCAACTGCTCGTAACCCCGACAGCTCTCTCCGCGCCAGATCTAAAACTACTTTTTAGGGTGGCAAGGGAGACTTTTGAGAATCATGTTTGTAGTAGTCATCATGTCCCAAGCCGCAAACTCAATGATACAGGGCGAGGATAAAGAGTGCAAGAGAAGGAGCTGACAGCCATAGTTCATTGCCTAAGAACACGATCTAAATCTAATAGATTCTTGTATCGAGTAGTTGGATCATAAGAGTCTCTTACCATACAAAAAAATGGCTGCATGCGCTGCACCTTTCGTCACTGAAGGAGCTATCTTCCCCGGCAACAGAGTTGGATAGATGCCATAGTGAGGAGTAGTCCCGGCCGTTATCCCCATTCCCTTCCTCTACTTGAATGAAATATTCAATTCTCTTTCCCCTGAGAAAACAAGACTCGAAGTCCCCATATTCTCCCATCAAGATGTTACTGGCCATAGGTTGTTCGTCGTCTTGAGGATCATGTCGATCTGCTAACTTTCTATCACTGGTTGGGGGCTGTTGGCCCTGAATCTCCCCGCATAAGTGGGAAAGGACTCAGATGGCTTTTGATGCTTAATCTCCAACTCGTGGCAAAGATCTTACTTTTCTTTTGTGGAACATCTCTATAGCTTGGGACAGGCTTGCTTGAGCGGATATGCGATATACAACCGATCTGCGACTATAAGTCTATTGGTCTTTCAATCTTTTCACAATGGAAATTCACCACTTCACTTACTTACTACTTACTTATTTAAATACCAGCTTGAACACGGAAAGTGAAAGTAGCACTAAAAAAGCAAATAGAGAGAGAGTACAATACAGAACTAAATAGGTTTAGAGTTCGGTGCTAGGTCAGCTAATAAGCTAAGCTCCATCATCATCCACTGATTGAGTAGCCGCGCGTTCAGAGCCGGGCGGGTTTGAAAAGATTCGAAATGAGGAGAGCAGTGGCAAAGGACAAAGGATAGGAGGAGCATTTTTTCCTTCCTTAGTGAAGGTACGAAGTGACTCGACTCTAAAGGAGAGGAAGGAGGCATGAAAATCGTCCCCTATGAACCTAAAAATAACTCTGCTTTAGCAAGAGCTATAGCTTCGAATTCGGATTCAGGCTATTCTCGCCTTCTTGTCTAACCTAATAAGAACTAAAATAAAGGAGTTTTTCTTACTTTCTGGAACGAAGCCTATTCAGTTTTCCATTTCAAATCTAAATCTCGTCCATGCATATCTCCACATTACGGCATATCCCAACATCTCGGCGTCTCGTCGGCGATCTTAGCTGCTTCTTCGTTCGCTACTAAATGAAATAGTAAATTCCAATGTACCCAGAAAGAGAAAACAAAGAATCCCGGGGAATGTATCCCGCTGGAGTGTTAGAACATACGAATAATGTTGTAACCTCCGAATCACTATATCCGTAGACATCTACGAATGAAGAAAGATCTCCGACAGTACGACATCGTAGACAGTAAGATGGAGTTCAAGAGCGTTTGCCGAAATGCTAGCCGTTGGATTGAAAACTGGAATGTTTGACTATTGAGTTTGTGCACTACCGCCCCAATGTCGAATTTCGTTTTTGTACTGCCGGGTGTTCCCTCTCCTTTCAGTCGAGCAACTTCGTTCCTCCACCTATTCCTTTCTCGTGAGCTTCCTTTCCCGTGTAGAGGCGCCTATTCGTGTTTAGCCCTATATTGACTCATTTTTTTTTTGAGTGGAACTCGAGTTGGACGTCCCATCCGTACTTGAGAAGCGGCCAGCTAAACCAGAACCAGACTTTTTATAATGAATCCCGAGCCGAGAAAACCCCTAGATCACGTATCCAGTACTCTAAACAAAAGACGCCAAAAGACCTCTCTTTGTCGATGCTATCACCCTTCTACTCCCATCGGAGTTCTTCCTAATAGCTTAACTTCGCTCCGCTTCGTTCGTACCTTCTATCGCTTACATTTCGTTCTTTCATGGTATTTCATGGGCTCCATGCACGCACACAAGCATTCTCTATTTGTTCTCTTTTATCGGGCCAATGCTTTCATTTCGTCGGATCGTTCTGCCGCGGAGTCTTCCGTTGATCTCTACACACGTGCGGGTACTTCACTTTTGATTTTGCACTAAGTTACTTACGTTACGGTCTTCAGCAGGCAGGCTTATACCATTATGCTCACGAGCAGAATCTTTTCAATTTTCATTTCTTCACTTAAGGAAGACTGATATAGAGGCTTTTCCCGCAATCGGATGTTAGTGGGTCTTTGAAGGAGGTGGTCCCCAATCTCCTAAGCAAATGTTGTCGTGTCCCCTTCATCCTTATTCTGGGGAAGATAAAATCAAGATAGAATGCCTCTCCTCTCCTTTAGAGTCGAGTGGCTTTCGCTCCTCAAAGATGAGAAGCGGCTCGCGCCTATCTTATCTATAGTAAGGCCCTCCGCAGGATGAATTATTTTCCCTTCACAAGGGAGGGGTCTGCTAATGGAACCTTTTCCTTTCCACTCACTATAAGAAAATCCAATCGTCTCGGGGATTACTACTTTGCTCTTCCTACCACCCACACCCGTACATGCTGCTTTCTAGTCTTCTCCACCTAAAACGGTAACGGTTGTTGGTGTCCGCTCATAGCTTGTTGTTCCTCAACCTGATTGATCGTATATATCACTCCGATCACCTACCAGTACCAGGCTTGGCATTCTCAGGTGGGTTCGCCCTTTATGTGATAGGGGTGCCCCACCGGTTGTTTATGGCTTTTCCATTGAGCGTCTTCGAGTTCGACCTAGTTACTCTCTCTCGCCTTTTCGAATGAAGATGAAAAAAAAAACACATTTCAACCTATCTTGTGCTCGCCCCTTACCTGCTGCTTAGTCTGTTGATTAAGATGTGGATATTGCAGATGATGATTTGGATTGCACTTTCACTTATACGCCCACCAACTTCCACCTTAGCTTTCACCAACTAAAGGAAAGGGAACTGCTGGCACAAGTAACATTTTCACTGCGAACTTAATAAAAACTTCCTTCCCGGCTACGCACTATGATCCCCGGTACCAGATCGTACCATCATAAGCGACTACCCTTTTTTGGTTGTGGTGTTGTATTCCCACCTTGAGCCCACCCACCAAAATACTTTTGAAAGCCGTTTTGTGCGCAAGCCCCTTCCTGCCATAGTAGGCATATCCTTCCGGGGCAGATGCATAGTAAGCACCCCCCTTTTTTGTCTACTAGTCATAAAAGACTATCCGCTTTGACATGAGACAGTCTAGCTCACTTCTGTATCAACTGGCTGAAATGCTAACCTAGGGCTCGGACTGGTTACTACATAGCCCTTTCACCAATAAGCGATTGGCGGATGGTGCTGGACCCGTAAGACTCGCTATCGACTACTCAGAAAATAAAACTAAACACTTATAGATTCGAAGGCTTCAACCGCTGTTAGGACCGACTACCGGACTGATAGAATGGAATGATAGAGCGAGAAAGGTAGGTTTAGGACTATGATCTGAAAGCTGACTGCCTGTCTTGAATGTATCTATGGACGAGCCTTGAAAAAGCCTATTTTTTATTAGTTTCTCCGGTATAGGAGAATTAAAAACTTTATAATTGTGGCTTGTCTATTAGTGTAAATGGGCCGATGAGCTTTAGCCCCTGGGCGGGATCAAACAATTCTCTTTTCGAA